CATTTCCTTAGAGTCAAAGTCCTGAGACATGGAAAGGATCCCAACACATGGAACTGAAGCTTACACACAGCAAAGTATGAGTCTGCCTATGCAGGGTGATTCGAGAGGTACTGTCTCCCTCTCCCCAAAATCTTTTCACCACTGGTCTATTATGATACCTGAAATTCCACTCATTCACTGTGATGTCAGGGAAATTCTCTGTTCTTGGATTTGGAGTCAGAAAACATGGGTTTAAATTCTTGCTTCATTCTTGGGAAAATAATTTTTTAAAGTTTAATTTTCATCATTAGCATTTTCCTATAACTTTCTTAAATCTAGACAAACGAAAAATAATTTTAAAAAGCCCTGATTTGTGGCAATTGCTAATTTCTGAGGTGTAAAAATTCAGATTGAAAATTAAACAATAGGCTGTCATAAGTTTGTCCAGGCTGGCTAAGAGCACATCCCTGAACTTTATACCATAATTTTTTTTAATTCAATTTTGTTTTATTTCCAATTCTGAATTTTCTTCCTTTCTCACCTCCCTCTCCCACCCACTGAGAAGGCAAGAAAAACAAAACCTGTTATATAAATATATAGTCAATTAAAATAAATTCTCACATTAGCCTTAGCCAAGAGAGGAACTGGGTCAGGGGGCCATGCTTGGTGATTCCAAAATTCAAAACCAGAAGTTTTCTCACTCTATCACAGTGAATGAGTGGAAGGAAGAAGGATGGAAACAAGCATTCATTAACACTGTTGCAATTGAAATTGAGGTAAACTGAGGCACAAAGTTCTGAGCACATTCAGTTTATTTGTAAGGCTAGACCAATGAAAGGGGTCTCTTGACTTCTCAATCAGTCAAAAGACCAGTAATAAACTTTTACATTCCAAATGCCTTAGCATCCAAATTCATAATGAAAACATTAAGTTACCTACAAGAAGACATACATAGTAACACAGAAGTGACAGAAGACTTCAATATCCCTCTAGAGCACTGGGCCTGGAGTCAGGAAGACCTGTGTTCCAATGTATTTCTTTGAATTAGGGTGATTTATAGGACAACAGCTTAGAGAGGAAAGCTGAATTTCTGACTTTAACTCAGATAAAGAAATATGGCTTAGGCAATTTTACAACATATTGAGGGTGATACAAAATAGAATCAATTATAAAATGGAATCAGAATCAATTTGATTTTCTCAATGAAAAGGAACACTTACTTGTGTATGACCATGAACAAGTCACTTCACTTCTGTATCCTAGCCGTGAAATGAAGATAAGAATATCACCTACCACTCAGGGGGGTTGTGAGCATCAAGTGAGATAATGTTTATAAAAGAAGTTAGCACAGTGCCTGGCACATAGTAGGTGCTTAATAATAGTTGGTTGATTGTTGAATATACTTCCAGTTCTTGAAGATTATAACTTCTTTTTAGTGTAATAACGTCCCCAATTTAGAGTTCAACCAGTCTACACTGGAGAGTGTAAGGGAGCAAAACCAGAAACACTGAAATGCACAAGAGAAGGCCTTTCAGACCTAAGAGAAACATTCCACCCTTAGTAAAGGTATGAGGCTTCAGGGCCTCAACTGCATATCTGGAGTTTTGGGGTAAATTCTTTGTAACTACTGCTTTTTCTATGCTATTTAAAAGCTTTTGCTTTGAAACTAAGTCTATTGGCACATTGTTAAGGGGAAACACATGAGTGAGGGCTTATCAACTAGTGTTAGTTACCATCGGAGTTGCACTCTCTGCAGTAGAGTTTGAATGGCTGGCAGTTTAGTTCGAGAAAGGACCTCAGTGTCTGGTATCTTATCCTGCCAGATGATCTTCAGAATCTTCCTAAGACAATTGGAATGGAAGTGATTCAGTTTCCTGGCATGGTGTTGGTGTATTGTCCAGGAAATGGAGTGTCTTGTGTAAAGAGAAGTAAGGAGTAAGGAGGCCCAAGCCTCTGGATCACAGACTATCTGGGAGGAGAGTGTAGGGTGTAGAAAGAATGTAGAGATGGGGGGAAAGTCATAAAGGGCTTTGAATGCCAAATAGTGGATTTAATATTTGATCTTTGAGGCAATAGGGAGCCAAAGGAATATCTTGAGTAGGGGTGTGATATGATCAAACCTATGTGTTAGGAAGATCAGAGGATGGATTGCAGCAGGGAGATTTATGGCAGGAAGACCAGCCAGTGGCTGTTGTAGTAGTCCAGGCATAAGGTGAAGAAGGATGTAGACATCCTGAGTCTTCTCTTCTCCAGAATGAACACCTGTAGTTTTTTTTCAAGTATTTAAAAGCTAAGAATTCTGCCTCTGGTTGCTGAATGTGCTGGCCCAACTTTTAGTCTTATTATGCTGGAAGTCAACAACAACCAGGGAATTCTATGCAGTAAGTTCATCATGCTGCCTAGTGGGAGCCAGCTCTCTCTTGCATGGAGATGACTGACAATTCATGATCAGGAGGTCTCTTGGGACCAGGAGCTGTGCAGTGTCTGGCTATCTGGTTAACCCATCCTCCATATTTTTAGGACTCTTGCCCCAACCCAGCTACAATGTGAGTCATGAAGTCTTTGAATCTCATCCCAATTGCCAACTATGTCAAATGTTAGAGGCCAGACTAATACTAGTCCTCAGTTCAGAATCACTGTTGGGATGAAATGGGGCACTCCCAAGTTAACTACAGCAGGTGTACTTTGCCCTCGCACAGCATGGAAATGCAACAAGGATAGACTGACCCTTAGTTTCTCTGGACTTGGCTTTCCTTGTCTCCATATGAAAAAATGTCCAGTCAGTAGGGAAGGGTACCAGGGCAGGGCATGGTGACTGCAGAATATCTTCAGAAATCCACCAAGTTGTAGGGGTCTTGACTGCATGTGGGTGGGAATTTTTCTGCCCTTAGGTGGCCAAGAAGCTTTGCCAGGGAAGCAGGAGCCAATCAGGCCCTGGGATTGCTTTGTCTCATTTTAGGGAAAAAGAATTGCTATTTGAGGATGGAAGGAGGAGACATGGACCAAACCCACATTGTGGGGAAATACTGGTAGACATAAGCCCTATCACGCAGACCTTAGAACTAAAATGAAAATAATACTTTGGTGAATTTCACATCAGCCCTTTATAGATACACTGTCAATGGTTTTCAGATGGGGGAAAGGACATGAAATGGCATCTTGGGCTATATGTTTCATTATTCTGTTAATACAGCAAAGCACTTAAAGGAAGAATGCAGTTTTCTGGGAAGTGATCACCCAGGACCAACATGAAGATGACTAGTGTGGGTCTGGATGCATCAGACTGTGGTACACATTTTTGAAGAACCACAGGGTGTTTTTGCTACCATGTCCCCTTAGGGTCCTTCTGATATATATGTGAGTAGAACTTGATTAGATGGCTTGCTGAGAGGATACCTGGCAGAGGGGTTTGTATTTGATTCTAGATGTACTCTAGAGAAGGGGCACTGTATGGAACAGTCTGTATTGATCTGCTATGGTCAGACCTGGCAGGCTTTTCAACTTTGCTCTTATCTGTGTGACCCCAGGAAAGTCACTCCACTCTGGGCCTCAGTTTCCCCTATTTTAAAATGAAGGAAGGGGCTGGACTGGATGGCTGATGAGATCCCTTCCAGCTGGAGATCTGTGATCCTGGGAATCTAGTGACTAGAAGGATGCCGTTAAGAGAAATGGGGCATTTGGGGAGATGGTGGGGTTTGGAGGAAGGATCTTGAGTCCCAAGGCTTGCCTGGGAGAAGGCCAGTGCCCAGAGGGCCATCCATCCTCCTGGAGATGATGTATGGTCTCTGGGCTTGATTGCTTCCCCATTTCCTTGGGCTCACCTGCTTGGTGGTCCTCTGACATGGCTCCCTCTCTCTTATTGAACTAGAAGAGCATGTTCATTGGTCTACCCAGCTTCTTAGGGCAGAGATCACTTGGGAGACAACTTTTTGGGCTGACCTGTGGATCCTCCACCACATATTACCTGTATGTATTGGGGGAGGGCAGGGCAAGTCACCTAAGGTCTCTGTGCTCTAGGCAAGTCTGAGAGTACAAACTGTAGGCAGAGAAGGTGTCAGTGGAGGGCTTTTGCTTCTCTGGGAGTCCCCAATACCCCTCATGTGTCCAGTCCCTGTCCCTGTAGTTGCCTAATAAAGACACCACCTTTCAGAATCCTGGGGCTCTTGGATGGATGCCTGGGCTAATCCCTTAGGTGATCAGGGTCCCCTGAGTGATGCTCCTCATGGGCAAGGCAGCATTCTGGAGCCTGGGAGGACACCCCAAGCCTCTCCTCATTTGTGGAGTTGCCCAGCAGCAACTGCCCCCAGTTTCCCATAGCCTAGGCCTGTACAGCAGCAGTTGTGGCTGCTGGGGTGCCCACATGTCCCTTCCTGATCCTGATCTTTCCACATCCCTGGAGAAAGGAGGCTGAAAGGTGCCCCTTCCCCAGACCACCTCTTTCATGCTCTGCTGTGGGGGTTTGTCAGGAATCCAAGTCCCATGCTGGGGAGCTGGTTTGCAGATGCTGCTGCTGCTGAGCTCTTCCCTTTTGGGAAGCCCAGGACACTACCCTCTCTGGACCTTCTTGTTTCCGTCAATCCCCTCCCCCTCCCTGTGTTCTGTAAAGGGGATGATCCCGACCCGCCCAGGCTGAGTTCAGATGAAACACTCCTAGCCCCACGGTCTGCCCTCAGGAGCCCCGGACCCTGGTCATCCCCTGGCCCACCTCCCTCCAGGTGGAAGATGCAATGTAGGCCCCTCCCTCACCAGGCTGGGCTATGCAGACAGAGGGAAATGGCGGGGGAGGGGGAGCTCCCCCCTCCTCTGGGCATGACGTCACAGAGCCCCCTCCCCTCACTCCCTCCTCTCTGGGGGAGGCCAGCGCTGGTCCTGGCCTGTCTCATCTCCCATTGTCAGAGTCCAGCCCCGCCCCAGGTGACGTCACCGGTCCCGGGCCCCCGCCTCCCACCCTCCTCCAGGGGTGGTGAAGGAGGAGGTTGAGTTACATGTTCACCTGTGTCAGGAGAGGGGGGCACGAGGGCAGCTCGAGGTGTTCCTGCCCCGCCCCCTCCCTTCTCTTTCCCCTCCTCTCCCCCACCCCCTCCTTCGTTTACCACCCTCCCCCACATTCCCTTTCCCCTCACTTACTCCTCTGCCCTTGCCTGACGATCCCGTGGAGGATCCTGCGTATGCATGCGTGGGCCTGTGTATGCATACGTGGGCCTGTGTGAGGTAAGTGCCCTTTTGCCTACTCTCCGCCCCCACCCCCCACGCTGGTCTTAGTGCGCTGGGGAATGTGTGTGTTGTTGGGGGGGAGGATCGTGGGTCCTTCCTCCTTTCCTCCCTCCCTTTCTTTTCTTCCCTCCCTTCCTCTTTTCCTCCCTTCCTTCCTGTCATCCTGGGCTTGGCCTTGGAGATGGGGGAGAGGAGACAGTCTATGAACTCCTCCCCTCCCCTTCTTCCTATCGTCTCTTTTGTTTGGCCATGTTTAATTTAATGGTATATTTATTTTTGTTCTGATTTCAACTAGCACTGGTAAACAGGGCATTTCCATGTACATTGCTGTGGAACACAAAGAGGGGACTGTTCATGAATCTGCAGATTCCCCATGATTTACAGACTGAAAGAACAGATTTGTTTTAATTTGCAGTTCTCTAATTATGAGGGATTTGGAGTATTTTGTCATAGGGTTACTGATAGCTTGGATTTCTTACTTTGAAAACTTCCTCTTCATATCCTTTTGAAGAGGTCTAGGACTTTTGGGGTTCTGTTGGGAACCCCAAGATCACGGTACTGGGCCCTGACTGAATGAATTCAACTCAAATCTTCCTCAATCCAGAGGAAAAGTTTATTAGTGATAAATCGCATAGGTCAGGTGACACCCAGGTCAGGTGACACCCATAAGGACCGGCGGGCATGAGAAAAGCTCAGCCTTTGGGGCATGAGAGATTCTCAGTGTATTAGCTGAATGTTACCGGTGGGGACCAGCAGGTATAAGAAAGTCTCAGCCTTTTGAGCATGAGGTTCTCAGCATCTGAATGGGGGCCAAGGTGATCTTAAATACTAAAGTAACTTTGGGTGACCAGAGAAGGGGGCTGAGAAAAGGGTCTAGGTAAGAATTCTAATTGGGGAGGTCTGAGAGATTGAATAGACGATGGGAATAGCTAATGGAGGGAATAGGAAGTGTTTTATGGGGCCTGTAATGAAGGGAACTGCAAGGCATATGAGTAAGGTCAAAAGGTGAGGCTAAGGCTTCCAAAGGGAGATAAGGGGCTGGGGCCTGTAGACAAAGGGGAGCCAGATTCCCTTTGGGTCAAAGGGCGAAGACCTTGGCTTTGGCCACACCTCATCACTTTGACCTCTTGCAGAATGGCTCTTAATGTTTGAAATTGGAATCCGTTCCTTATATATCTTGCACATGTACCACTCATTAGAGAACTTTGATGTTTTTCCTTACTTAACTGTTACCCCTTTAATTTAACTACATTAGATTTGTTTGTGCAGAAACATATCAATTTTTTAGAAGCATATTTATTCATTTTATTTTCTGTAATCTTCTCTGTCCCTTGTTCTGTCTTGACCTCTTCCCCTATCAATATATGTGAAAAATAATTTCCTCCTTGCTCCTCTAATTTGATGATTCCTCTTTTCTACCTAATTTCTGCATCTGTTTGTAGTTTAATTTGATATGTGGTGTGAGGTGTTGATATCCTATCAAACTTCTGCTAAACTGCTTTTCACTTATCCTGTTTTCTTTTTTATCGAAAAGTGTGTCCTCCCCTGCACCCCCCAACTGCTGTTTTTTTAAAAAACATTATGTTGTTATTCTGTTTGCTTCTGTTTACTGCATATCTAATCTTTTCCTTTGATCAACCTCTCTATTTTTAACAAGTACCAGTTGTTTTCATCATCACAGATTTGTAATATAGTTTGAGATCTGCTACTTGTAAATGCTAACCCAAACCCCTTTCTTTACTCCTCCTCCCTCCATTTTTATTCTTGAGATTCTTGAACTCTTTAAACTTTTATTTTGATGTCTTCTGTTTTTTACATCAGCATGATGTTCCATGTATACTTTCCTCTTCCCCTCCCTGAGAGCCATGTTATGTGAGAAAACAGTATTTTTTCTTTTAGGGAGGGAAAAAAGCCATCCCACCTGATGGATGCATTGGGAAAACTTGTGCCATGTGTAACACCTGTCACCTCGAGAAAGGGGTAGGTTGAAGGTGTCTTCTCCCATCTTCTTTTGAGTCTCACTTGATCTTTAACATTTCGTTCCAGGTACTTTTAACTTTTTGGTGCATTGTTCTTTCCATTTAAATTGTTGTAGTTAATGTGTATACTGTTTTCCTGGCTCTGCATATTTCACTTTCCATCAGTTCACAAAGGACATTCCAAACTTTTCTGTACTGATCACACCCATCATTTCTTAAGAGTGCAATAGTAGTACATTACATTCATATACCACTCTTTGTTTAGCCATTCCCCAGTTGAAATGCATCTACTTTGATTCTAATTCTTAGCTGGTACATTTTTAAAAGCATTGTTATAAATATTTTGGAGCAAATGGGGATTTTTTTCTTCTTGATGGTTTCCTTGGAGTATTATCCTAGTAATGGAATCTTTCTTTTAAGAGTATGGGCATTTTTGTTACTTTCTTTGTATGATTTCAAATTATTTTCCAGAATGGTTGTACCATTTCATAGCTCCACCAGCAATGTATTTATTGGTGTGCCTATCTTCCCATGCTACTGCCAACTTTGCTGTGCCATTTTTATCCTTTTTGGCAATTTGCAGAGTGGAAGATGAAACTTCAGGATTGTTCTGATTTGCATTTCTCTTATTATTAGTGATTTGGAGCATTTTTTTTCATGTAGTTGTGAATAGTTTGCTGTTCTTTTTTTAAGAACTGTTTGTTCATATCCTTGGACAATTTTTCAATAAGAGAATGGCTTTTATACATACATACATACATATATACATATATATATATATATACACACATACATATATATATATATATATATACATACTTACACACACACATATATATATATATTTATATAACTTGCTGTAATTGAAAGGATTGCGTACTACGCAGATTCAATTTAGGTTTGGATCTCAAAATATGATGACACGTACTCAGGATAAACTTAACAAATAATCACATTTATTTTACAGTGATTCAAAACTACACAAGCAATAAGGGTAAGAATAACATTCAAAGCAATAAGTAATAATCAACATGAAGGAAAGTAGGAATAAGAAAAGAAAGGATACACACTCACTGACCAGGTGAGCTCAAATACCCATAGAGCTGGGGAGACTAGAGACGGCCCAATGGATCTGGTCAGGGAGGCAACGGGGAGCGTCCTACCCTGGGACACAACAAAGGCCATGCCAGAGTTGGCATCCCTATCTCTGCATCAAAGTACTCCAAAAATCCCTTTCCAAATGACCCCTTTTATATCCATGTAAACCAGGGAAAGACAATCTTGATATTTTGTTTTGTGTACATCTCCTTGGTGAGTGCTCATGTCCAGGTATGCACAATCTCTAACAAAAGTTGGGCCTTTACTGGGAAATAAGAAATACAGGAAATGAGGTACAGAGGTCTATCCTGCCCTATAGGAAAATAGAAGGGGAAGGGGATAAGAGAAGGGGAGAGAGATAGAAGAGAGGACAGACTAGGGGAAGGGATATTCAGAATGCATGCCATCTTGGGGTGGGAGGAGGGAGGAGATGGGGTATAAATTTGGAATTCAAAAACTTGTGGGAGTGAATGTTGAAAGCTAAAAATAAATAAATTTATATTAAAAAAAAAGACTGGGGCACAGAAGAATCACAGATAGAGGGCTAAAAGGGAACAACCCCCTCATTTTTATGGAAGAGGGGACTGATGCTCAGAAAAGGTAACTAATTTGCCTAAGGTCACACAGCTAATAAGTGACAGCAGTGGAACATGGACCCTGGTCCTCTCCAAATCCAGTTACTTTCCACTAAACTATTCTGCTCCTGAAGTACAGGGTTCTGAAAAGCCCAGGTTTCATCTGCCCTGAGCCAAGGTGTGAAAATATGTCTTTTCATTCATCAGACCTTCCCATTCAGTGATAATAATAGATAGATAGATAGATAGATAGATAGATAGATAGATAGATAGATAGATGGATACATGACAGATAGATAGATAGATGATAGATAGATGGATGGACGGACTGATTGATTGGTAGATGAATAAAAGAGGTTAGTGGGAAGCAGAGAGACAGATTTGGAATTATTTGAGGAAAATCGTTAAATGAACCATAAGCTTTGACCCAGTTATCCCATATTACCCCAAATGAATGAAAGATTTTAAAACTTTATGAAAAGCCAGCCTAATAAACATCAAGCTCTATACTCTAAAAAGAAAAAAAAAGTTGGGCCTTGATCAGAGCCCCAACTACCTGTTTGTTGTGTAAGTCTCCAAGGAGTGATCAGTTCCTTGGACAGTTACACACCTTTCACAAGAAAAATGTTGAGATAAATTGCTTTCCCAGGTAACATAGTTTGTTGGTTATTTAATGTTTCGTCTCCATGGTCATCTCCGGCCATGCATGGTAACTCCCATCTATCCTTATGTTGGGTCATGAGGCAGTTACACCTTTAGGTCATGAGATGGTTACACAGGGGCTGGGGAAGATCTATCCTCCTCAGTTTCCCTTATACTTGCTTCTTGCTTATATATCTTGAATATTAAACCCTTATTGGAGGAATTTGACACAAAGATTTTTTTCCCCTTCAGCCACTTCTCTTCTTATCTTAGATACATTAATGTTGTTTGTGCAGAAGCTTTTAAGTTTTAAGTTATCAAACTTATCAGCTTTATATTTTGTAATTGCCTCTATTGCTTGTTTGGCTAAGAATACATCTCTTACCCATATCTGTGCAAGGTACATGATCTATTTCTCTTCTGATGTTTTTAATAGTACGATCTTTTATATTATGGTCATGTATCAATTTCGATTATGTTGGGGAGAGTGGTTTGAAGTATTGGTCAAAGCCTCATTTCTACCAGACTGTTCTCCAGTTTTTCCAGCAATTTTTATTGAATATGTAGCTTCTCTCTAGGTAAGTTATGTTTTCCACTTTATCAAACACTACGTTATTGAGTTCTGTTGTTTCTGAATCTCCCTTCTCTAGTATGTTCCATTCATCTATTTTTCTGTTTTTAAAAAATATTTTGTTTTTTTTCTCAATTGCATGCAAATATTTTTTAGCATGCATTTTTTTGAAATTTCGAGTTCCAAATTCTCTCTCTCCCTCTCACCTCATTGAAAAAGCTAGCAATTTGATATAGGTTATACGTATGCAGTCATAGAAAACATATTTCCATATTAAACATGTTGTGAAACAAAACAGAGGCCAAAAAAACCCCACCAAATAAAATAAAGTTTTTAAAAAGTATGCTACTGCCTGCATTCAGATTGCATCATTTTTTTCTCTGGAAATGGATATTATTTTTCATCATGAGTCCTTTGAAATTGTCTTCGATCATTGCATTGCTGAGAATAACTGAGTCATTTACAGTTGATCATCATATACTACTGCGCTTACTATGTACAGTGTTCTCCTGGTTCTGCTCACTTTACTTTGTATGAGTTATATAAGTCTCCCTAGCTTTTTCTGAAAGCATCTTGCTCATTATTTCTTCGATCACAATAGTATTGCTTCACAATCATATACCACAACTTGTTCAGCCATTCCCTATTTGATGGGCATCTCCTCAATTTCCAGTTCCACAAAAGGAGCTGCTATAAATATTTTTGTACATATAGGTACTTTTCCCTTTCATTGATGTCCATGGGATACAGACCTAGTAGTAATATTTCTGGCTGAAAGGGTATATGCAGTTTAATAGCCCTTCGAGTGTACTTCCAAATTGTTCTCTAACACGGTTGGACTAGTTGACATCTTTTTTTGTAAATTTTTTATTAATTTTAAACTTAAATACAAAATTAGAAAAGAAAAAAAGAACATTGCCACGTACACAGCAGAATATAAGAAAGGATTTGCTATAAAACAATAAATTTCCATTTCATGAAAACCTGTATAATAAATGCTACACAGTGTTTTCAAAGCTGCCCAGCTTTTGTTTGCTTCCTTGTTGATTTTCTTTTGTTCCTTGCTATGCAATTTTTACTTTATTTTTTCCCCCTCTTTCAGCCCCTACCCCCACCCCACCATCTACCCTAAAGAAGGCTACAATTAAACACAGATTTTATATATATATATATGTATATGTGTATATACACATACATATGTGTATATATACATACATATATTTATGTATACTTATATATGTGTGTATAGATATTTGTGAATATGTGTACATATACACGTATTCACAAATATTTATAAACATACATATATACACTCATGCACATATGTGTAAGACCGTGGTATGCATATTTCCACTTGTGATCTCTTTCTCTGAAGGTGGATAGCATCTTCCTTCATAGGTTCAAGTCTTTTTATGTTTTTCAAAAATCAACCAGCTTATCATTTCCTACACCACAGTGTGTGGGACAGCGACCCTAACCCAAATTAAACTCAGAGACTTCTCAAGATGGAAAGCAAAGGTTACCTTTATTACAGTCTCCGAGATGGCTGTCTGTTCCTTTGATAGACGTGGAGAGAGAGAGACCAAGTAACAGGGGCCACCTTATGAAAGCAAATCTCCGCCTACCACACAAACAAGTTTCCACCCACCACTATGCCTTACCCCTTAACTGGGGGTGGGCTTACATTCTAACTGGGAGGTGGGGCTTACATTCTAAGCTTGAAAGTTTCTTCCTATCCCCTTAACTGGGAGGTGGGGCTTACATTCCAGGCGCCAAATTCAAAGACAAGGAAAGAGGCTGGAAGCCAAGGGCAAAGGCTCAGGTTGGGGGTGAGGCAGGGCTTATTCTTTCTGTTAAGTGCTTAAAAACAAGGGTCTGAGTAGGGGAGGATTTTGAAAGTAATAATCAAGAATTATTTGACCCTTTGAGGAGCCTTCACTTCTGAGAGTTCATTTCTCACACTACCTTCTGAACTCATTACCTTAATTACACTGAGAAGTCTTCAGTGGGACATCCCATTCAACAGCAATATTCCAACACAACCACATCCTATCTGAGAGATTGTCTATGGAAATTTTTCCCACAATTTTATGCATTCCTTCTATTCTTGGCTAC